TGTGTGTGTGTGTGTGTGTGTGTGTGTGTGTGTGTGTGTGTGTGTTTCACAGATGGCAACAGGAGGGGAGGGAGAGTTGGAGGGGGTGATGGAGAGAGCTGTCTGAGGCTCCAGCAGCTCTTGTGTCTCTCAGGCAAATGCGGTCTGTCTGTGGGCATCTGCACTGGCAGCACCCCCCCCCAAAAAAAACCATACACCCCCCCCTCTCTTTCTTCCGTCACCACCTTACCATCCAGCCCCGCCGTGGATTCGGCAACGAACAGTTACCTGACTCCCCTTGACCGTCTCCGTTTGACCCAGCGGATCATTATGTGGATTTGGGGGGAGTTGTGATTTTGTTGGTTGGAGAACAGGCTGACGAATATGTTTTGAAAACGGCATTTTCAGACTAAAAGCATCTCGATCCACACCGGCCTCCTGACTGAAAAGACACAATCAGCTGCGAGTGTCTACGTCATCATCTTTGTTTCTTCCAGACGATAACGTGGTCCAGGAGTTTTCAGAATTAAACGGAGGCAACAGTGTTCATATCACTTCTCCTGGTTTAGTGGCTCTAAAACTCCAGAGTAGTGTGGACACCAGGCGTATCTGTAGCAGAGTTGATACGTTTTTAAATGAAAACACAGTAGCATGCATGTAGCCTGTGTGTGAGCACATGTCCGTGTGCGCACACGGACTCTGGCGTGTTGTGTCAGCCTGGTTGTCAGCAAGTGAGTGTCTTTGATTTGCAGCCGGTCGCAGGGTTTGAGTCGGCTTGTAAAACTTTGAAGATGATTACATGAGTTGTGTTTGTAGTGGGCCCTGTATGATTGCTTCGCTCTGTATGCTGCTGCCCTATTGATCACAGCAGAGTAACTGCCAACAGTATATTTAACGACATGGCTCCTCAGTATTGGCAGATGGGTCAAGATACTTCTTTTTTCTGCCTTGTTTCTCTTTGAACTTGTAGTTTTAAGTATCTCTCACATTTTCCTATCCATTTGCTCTTCTAGTCAGACACAAAGAAGCTGCTTGATGTGGTTTATGTAATATTTAGTTTTTTTTTCAAACTCAACATTTACGCCCGAGCACACTCTATAGTTGTTTGAAATGTTCTTTGACGTCTTTGTGTCCAGGTGGCACCTGCACTAAGACGAGAAAGGACTGGAATCTACTGCCGAGTTTACCTGCTTCACAACTAAAGCTTAAGAAACACGAGTTGTTCTTTTCTTTTTGTTTCGGCCGAGAGAAAGAGAGAGAGGGAGTGGGGGACTAACGTTTGGTTCTGGGATTTCTGAATACATTAAAACATACCACAAACCACTAAGCACACACACAATAATTTATGCAGACATTCTCTTTGAGTCGCACTGTTCCGATTGGCTTACACACTGCAGTGGCACAGCGTGTACGTGCCAGCACAGTTGACACATCTGTTCCTGAGATTCGTGGAGGTTTGGGCGCTGGAGGTGTTGGTATGCACTGATTAGCGCAGGGCTGTCTTTATCCAAACCGCCGGGTTTCCTACTGGGCTTCCATAAACTGTTTACTAAGGAGTCTGTTGCCATGGTTTTTCAGCCATGTTCCAATCAGTCTTTGACCACTCAGCTTTATTTATTCCTCAAAAAAGCCCATGCCGTCTGCATCAACCAACTGTTGTACCCCCTCAGACCAGCTGAATCATGTATATAGTGGATTTTATTCATCTGCAGGACAGGGGGCTTGGATGAGGATTGGAGCCTGATTGGATGAGCTCGGGAGAGAGAGTCTTAACAAGCTGACACCTTTGGCTCATGGGTGGGTTTGAAACGGAGGCTTTGATGAGAGAGGAAGAGATCACTATCATAATAACCTAATAACTCTGTGTTCTGTGTGTGCGCCGGGTGTCTAGTTAGAAACACATGCTATAGCCCTCGTTTTTGATCTCCCCTGAAAACGCCATTTTCCGAAAAAACCATAATGACACCCCTGGGCAAGATGCGATAAAAGTGAGATAAGATAAGACAGGTTTTTACAACCAAAATTATCTTTACTCTGATCCTGCTTGTCCTTTCTCTTTCAGTCTTTCATCCTTTCAACGTCCCCCCTCTCTGTGTCTCTCTCCCTATTTTCTCTGCTTTCATAACGAGAAAAAATAAATGCCTTTCATAGGTTTTACAGAGCGACAGTGAAGCAGGAGAAGCATGAAGCAGCTTGCGGAGGTCAGGCCACACTTGGAGAGCGGACTGATGCTCAGGTTGTCATTGAGGGCAGGGGTCTATCCTCCTATAGGCTGCAGGCTGCATCTGTAGTGTTTAACAGTCTCGTAAGCTGTTTATTTCGACCCTTTGCACCTCTCTGAACAGGAAGCCATATCCCTCAATTGGATTACAGCTAATTAAATACTAGACACGTGTAGAGTCAACACACAGAGGTGTCATACATTCCCGTCCCTTGCCTCCGTCTCGCATCTCCTCCCCCTCCTACTTTTG